TGTATTTGACCAATGGATTGCATGGACTGCTCACCATCTGTTATTTGTGACTGGTACAGACAGCCCAGTCACTGTAAGGTTAACAGTTTGGCCCTTCAAAGGATCCTGATATTGGCTTAAAAATCATGGTGCTGTGGAATTTAGATTTTTTAAAAATTTAGATTTTTTAAGTTTTTAAAGTCACATTGTCACTATTTGCTGATCAAGTGCATGCATTTTTATCAACACATTTTTCTCCTTCCATCCATGTGTCCACATTCCTTTATCTCCCGTGTCAAGGTTTTGAAACTGCTTTTTGCAGCATTCTGTTAGAAGAGGTGTTGGGACTTGTGACATTTCTGAACAAATCATAACTGAGAACTGTATTGAATTCAGTGAGTCTGTTTCAAGAAGGTTTTCATGTTATTTCAACAGCTCTAGCACTTGTTTACCTGGCTTTCCTGCAAAAAACAGGTTTTTTTTGTTTTTTTTTTTCTGGGGTTACCACTAGATAACACATCTGGTGTCAAAGTCTGTGAGACTTGCGTAGGTCTGTGAAAATTTCTCAACCTCACTTAAATAACATTTAACAAAAATATACATTGCATACTTGGCACTGGAGAGATGCCACAGTTAGATGACAGAGCCAACCTATGAAAAAGGACTCATGATGCATTCCCAAAGGACACATCTTGTTAAAATAAAATACTAGGAAAACAAGAACATATCAAGAATAGTCTCAGTATTTCAAAGGGAACATCGCATGCCAAGAAAAACATTGTAATCTTTTTTCTGTCTTGAAAGAAAATTTAGAAGCATGTTAAAAGCTTTTTACTTTAATTTGGTGCCAGTTTGGGTTTTCATGCTTACAGGGCTTGCTTTATTTTTATTTTTATTTTTTTTTAATCTAGATGCAATATAGAAATACAGAATTCAGAAAAAGCATTCCTAATTGGAATGCTGTGAAAAGACAAAAAAACAGGATGCCTTGGAAGAAAAAAAGGATGTCCTAGAGAATGGATTAAAACCATGGAACATCTACATTGGGTACATTTATATGCAAAACCAGACAATCAAAGTGGTATCCGTCAAAAAACTAAAAAAGAAATTAGTGTTCCTTGGAGTAATGATGATAAGTTGGTGATGAAAACTCTTGTTTTAGTTGCCTGAGCTCAGGAATAACAGTCTGAGCTGCAGTTCTGTCTTTAGCTGCAGTTCTCTCTTTGACAGAAAACATTACACAGCAGCTTCTGCTGGATACACACTGTATGTTCTGCTGAATATTTTTTTCTTGGAGCAAGTATTAGTGGAATAGGAATGGCACAGAGTTGGAAAAATACCAAATAAGAAGAAATGCTTTTTTCCAAACCACATTGTTATGAATAAGTGAAGAGTGTGTGACTGATAAGGGAATGGACATGAAGAGTAAAAGGGATAATGCTGTACAGGTTTAGGTGATATCTAGCAGAAAGTGACATCCAGAAAATTTAGCTGGTTTGGGCAGGATTGACCTATGAATGAGCCAGATTGAGTAGTGCTCAGAAGGGCTTGTATTTCTAGTCAGCTCTGTGTTGCCACCTGTCCTTGCTCTAAAGAGCATAGAAGCCCTTAACCTTCATGTGTACCTGCTTAGGCCATTACCTGAGCAACTGTTTTGTTTTGCTGGATTTTGGTATTCCCACCAATGAGCAGGAGTACAGAACTCTAGAAAGTGAGTCCGTAAAAGTAAAAGTAACCTAACCCAGCTGTAAAGCAGGAGGGGAAGGAAGGACATTGTATTCTTACTGCTTCTGTGCAATGTGCTGTCCACTCTGGTCCTTCTGACCTCTCCAGTTTCCTTGTCTTTCCCCTTTGGCTGCATTTTTTGGTGGCAGCACATTTTGTTTCTCTAACTATGTGTGTAGTTTAAGCTACAAGCCTGAACATTAATCTGTGCATTTGTTTCTATATATTTCCATAGATTAGAGGAATGAGCGTTTGGGTTTTAGATAATGATGTTTGTGATGGTCTGGGAGACATGGGTTAGAGCTGTATGCTCAGCCCCAGTGGAGGAGGCAGCCTAGGACACTCCAGACCAGCCAGCTTCAGCACTGTGAGACTACCTTGCCCTACTTCCATCAGGGTTTTCCAATGTGCCAGTAAAACAACCAAACCTTTGGAAGAAGGCATAAAATGGAATTTCAGTAAGAAGAGTTATAACCAAATGAAATTTAAAAAACATGTAGACCTCAGATTTTGTCTTCTTTTTTCTAGAAAGTCTCTGAAGTTTCTTAAGCTGACTTATGGGAAGAAGTAATCACCTAGGATCCTGTAGGCTACTGTGTCAGAGGAAAATGTAACTACCTTTTACAGACTTATTTTATCCTGCTTTTTGTATTACTAGACTGTTTTTTGCATTGGGTATGTTTAAATTACATTGATCTTCAGAAAACACACAAACAAAAAACCCCAAATGAAACCAGCTAAATTAATTTCAAAACTTTGTGTTTGAGAAATAATGTAGGAATAAAGACTGTCAGATTAATGCAGTATTAGATAAGGAAGAAAAGATATTTTTTTGCCTGCATTAGATGTTTAGGGCAAGCATTCATGGTGTCTGAGGCAGCCCAGCTGATGAATCCTGTGGCCTCAGCCACAACATCAGCCAACCAGGCTGTCTAAACTTTTTCTGTAGGTAGCTGAGAGTGAGACCATGGACAAGGCAACCAAAACCACCTGAGTTTGGAGAGTCCTAATCAGGCAGTGAAGGAACTTCTCCCTCTCTGCTGGATGTGGTGAGAATTACTTGCTTATGTGGTGCCTAAAACTGGGTGATGCCAGTTATCCTTTCTATATAATTTTTAAATAGCTAATAGATTCCCTTGAGTCTTCTATGAACTGTCGTGAACACATTTACTTTGTGTTGTTTTAATTTCCCAGGAGTATATTTTTATTTATTTCAGTTTCCTAAATTCTCCTTACCTAGTTTTTATGTGCCATTCTTTGCACCATGATGTTAAGATCATCAGAACAGCACTTCATGATTTGACCTTATAGATGCATCAAAACAGATGTACAGTGGGAAATATTGCTTGCTATATTTAAACATCAAGGTGAATTGTTATTTACATGCAAGACAGATTTATTGTTATGATCATTTATTTATTGCACTTCTAGTGTACTGGGAGCTTTGCAGCACATATTGCTAGGTGTGCTTTCTGCCCTTTGAATTCTGCTATTTTGAAATTCACCTGAGGCTTGTTGATCTACTCTTGAAGCTTGACAGATGATATTCTTCTTTATCTTTTGAAAGTGAGAAAAAACATAACCACTGTTCTTTTCGAGCATCTGGAAAAATGTATATAGCAGGTGTGAGTAATAGCAATTTCCTTTCTCTGTTAATCACACTGTGTAGGAATATATACAGGTTTTATGATCTGATTGCCTTCTTCATGTGGTGTAATTCACTACTACAGGGATAAATACTGCAGGGAAAGTACTGTGAAAGGTAAAATATGCATTCTTCTTCAAGGTGGTGCGTTTATCTGCTTAATAAAACTGGTTCACTGCTTCCAACAGCTACAGCCAGGCATTAATAATGTAATTTGTGTCAGTCCATAGGGACCTGGCAGCAGAGGAATTAGGACACCTGGCCACAGAACCAGAGTCGTGGGTACAGGCTGTGCTCCAAATGTGTGCTGACAGTGGCTCCCAAGGGATCCTGCATTAAATGAAGGCTTAGTCATGCAGGCTAGCAAGTGGAAGGTGGGCAGGGGTGGTGCCAACAGCCTCGTGATGGTCCTTGCTGCTTCTGCATGTTTCTGGGCATGCTTTTAACTGTATTCACCCAGGTCTCATCTAGATTTAGGAGAATGATGGATGCATTGTAGGTATATATCACTGCCCTCTTACTGATGGATTCAGTGGTAATCAGAAAAATATTCCTGAGTCCCCCAGCAAGGTGCATGGTGTGCTTCAGATTGAGAAAGTCTCTGTGCATCAAAGGGAGACAGCCTTATCTTTCCCAGGGGAAAGATGTAAGAGCAGTATGTGCTGTTACTCTGCTAACACAGTGGTTATAATTTTCTGGAACATTATTCCAAAACTAACAACATGTTTTATTGTGGCACTGGATGTTCTTTTGGGCCCCACTGGATGCAAAGGCATCTAGTCAACCAATAATCTTTACAAAGTTCTACTGCACAGATCCAAAGCTTTCTGTTGCTGAAGATGGCCACTTGGTACACCCTTATTTAAATGCACAGCTGTCCTTGAAGCATGTAATGAAAGCAAAATAGATTAGGAAGATGATATTATTTGCAAACAAACTGAATAACAGTATCAAATCTGGTGGGGTAGCACTGTACAGTCAATTGAAACCATGACTTAATAACTTCTCTGGTTAGGGAAAGAAGGTATTTGTCTTAGCTGGCAGTAAACTTCCCTGCCTGTATTTTTGGTCTGCTACTGTTTCAGTCTTCTTTAAAAAAGAATTATATCAAGTTCCAGCTCTAGTATGTGTTTATGAGCTCCTTGTCAATCTCTGGGTGTCTCTTGGAGCTCTGGTGCCTATGCTGGACGACGCTTTGATCTCCACTCCTAGCAAAGAGCAGCTGCTCCTTTTCTCTGTCCCTGTGCACCTGAGGTGTCTGTCAGTCAGGGGCAGTTACATGCTATAGCTCTCAGTCCAGTGAATTATTGAAGAAGGAAGATCCTCCTGCTCTCCCATGTTCAGTTCCTCCTTCTTCAGGCTGCAGAGTCCCAGCTGTCCTCTTCACTGTCTCTAGATCTAACTGCATCTAGATCTAACCTGATTCAACTTGGCAGCACTAAATAATAAAATAATTCCAAAACAAAAGCAAAGCATAGGGTTTTTACTGCTTAGTTAGTTGAATTAGCTTTATTATAGAGCATCATAAGTTACACAAGAGAGGAGCTGAAGCTGTGTGTGTGTGGGAAAGGGGAAACAGGCAAGGAAGGGGAGAAAGTGGTGGAGCAGAACCATTGCATCTTAAAGCAACCAGCTGTTGTTTAAGTAAACAAATCCTCTCTGTTACACCTCTGGCTATACTCATAGCATTTCAACACCTCTCTGTCTCCAGGCTTCCTTCTGCCCTGCCCATGATGTTCTGCTATTGCCATTTTACAGGAGAAGGCACAATCAGTGAGTGGATCTCTTGACCTGGCAAGAAATTGAAGTCAGGTGAGTGACTAGAGGTGAGTGTCTGAATCACTGGCCATTCCCCCTTATCAGAAGGGGGAACTAATCTTTCATCCTCCCTCTTAATTCCTGCTCTTATATGGTAACTGTAGTTCTGCTTATGAACACACAAGAGTATTTTAATACTGTACTGCAAAGGCAGAGTTTTGGTATCTTTCTCCTGTCCTTTCATCCATGAACTATTACAAATAATCTGCTAGCCAGAGAGCAGAATGAAGATTGCCTTCATGTGTCGCTGCCCTGCTGTAACCTCACTAGCGAGCTGCCAGAATTTTCTAAGATAAATATGCAGCTCTTGGATATCAAATTGCAAAACCCTGTTGAGCATATTCATATCCAGGAGTGCTCCTCATTGGAGTTTTTATTAAATTTTTCTTTGTATTCAGGACTAGTAACATGAAAAGATATTATGCTATTTGAAAGCTTCAAGCTAATATACACCAAAGATTAGCTTGCTTCTACATAATAATCATGTGGCACTTAAAAGTCACTGTGCAGATTGTACATGACACTCGGGGACATGTATAAAATCAGTGTAATCAGCTTTCAGTCTGATCTTCCCCTTTGCATGCATTTAGAGTAGTCAGAAATATTCCACTCACTGGTCTTGCAGAGCTCACTTTAACTACCCACTCGAAAAATCTTGTAGTAGCATGGTACAAGGGCAAAAAACAGCACATACCACATCTTTAAAATAAATTAACACACTTGATTCACATGTAGACTGCTTGTGAATGATGATATATTAACTGCATTTCAGATTAGTCCCAAATAATTTTTAATTATCTCCGTTTTGGTCGGTAACCTCTTCCACTTGCAGAGTTCATGCAGACAGACTGCACTTTCCTTGTTCATATTCTGGGAGTATTTTTGTGGTATGGAATACTTGGTATCCATAATACAAGCTGTGCTATTTAGCTATGATGAGTTACTTAAGACATTTGTTATTATTTCCATTACCTAATTGAAGGAGAATAATTTATAATTAGGAGGGTGAGTTTGGCTTTCTGAATAAGGCAGTAATTTGTGGGATGGGATTTAGCAGGAATTGAAATGAGGACATTTTCTGTTTCCTTGATTATACAGGTCTTGTCCTTAGAATCAATCCTGGAAAGTTAAATTATTCTTAACACTTTAGGAAGGGAATATCTTGATTTTGAATACTGTATTCTGTTTAAAAAGGAATGTAGCTCTGCACTTGATATTAATTGTGAGAGGTATTGTCAGTACAGTTTGGTTTATGTCAGGGTGCATACAGTACGTGCATTGTGTCTGTTGCGAACTTGGATATCTTTGATCTGTGGGCTGTGGCTCTTCAAGTCACCCATCAGTCTGAACCTGTAATCAGTGACAGAACTGTAGACAGAGGCTAAAGGTTTGGCACAGGGTTCTAGTTAAAGCCACTCCTTGCTCTTAAGGTGGCTTTTTGGTACCTTCTGTTCTGAGGTACATGTGGGTAAATGAGTTAGGATTTTTGACAGTTAGGAGCCAGGACTTATTGCTACTTCCACTTTTGGTTGGACTGGAAGTGTTTATAAGGATACATTTAATGATGTAATGATGAAAGTCAGGACTATTTGGAGACTTCAACTGAATCTATATAGGAATATTATACTCTGGGTAGGAGTATTGTCTTTAATTCTGGACAAATCAATGTCATTATGTTGTTTAAAATATTATTTCAAGCTTCAGTGTTGGATTGATTTTAGTAAGTTACTTTTTGGTGTCTGAAGTTTTAGTTCAGTCTGTATTTGGCTTTCAAATTGCATTTTGAACTCTGACCAATAGAAATGAGAGACTGAGGTTGAAATAAAAAGTGACAGGACAGTGCATCAGGCCTCTCACTAGTTGATGATGAGCATGAGTGTTTGGGTATTGCTTGGAGGGCAGTTTTGACCGCCAATGCACTTTTACAGAAATGGTAAGTTAGATGTTACAGTGAATTATCTTCAGGAGGTGCTTGCTACTCTTAATGGATTACACAGAGAGACTAGTGTGATCTGGTTTCTGACTCAGGTGTCTGCATTAAATACCTGTTGCTAGAAGGAATTAATCAGGTCTTTTAAATTTTTTTTACACTGACAGTAGCACTAATGAGGATCAATTGCCTTAATTTTCAGCAATCTAGTCCTTGTCTGGAATTTCCTCAGATTGTTTTGGACAGTGATTGATCTTCTTGTCAATTATTTTAAATAATGTTTTGAGTCCTTTTGGCAAATATGGAAATACTGTGAAGATGGGAAAGCTGGAGTGAAGGTAAGTTAGTTCATGCCAGCTTTGTTCAGGCTTGATCTAATTCTGAAGCAAATGCCTTTCCACAAAATATTGGGTGGACACATCCCAGATTCTGTAGCTCAGCCAGTCTGGCTAATCCTGGTGGAAAATTTTATTTCTTTCCTTCTTCTGTTCAGGTCATCTTTCCTGCCTGTTTCTTCTTTCTGACATGTGTACAGACTCACCTAGTTCCTATACGTTTGATAGTTTTCCCAACAAGTTCATGTGTGTGAAAATATTCAATAAGCAATACTTGATCACCTGCCCCACCCCTGAAAAGGAAATTTTAGTGGTGAAGAGACTTGAACAGGAATTAAATCTTGCTTATCTGAGGGTTGTTATTACCACAGAATTCATTAATCTGCAGCTTTGGCTCAGACAGGCATTTTCATTGCTCTTTCCTCCTCCTTTCCCTTCATCCTCTTGGCTGCTTGTCCTTGTCTGGCTCTTCCTCCACCATGGTTGTGAGTATGACTACAGAATATGTTGGACTGGGGAATTGTTCTGGATAGAAAAAATTATTATGATATTGGCGGTACAGATTACATTTCAGCTGATTCACTTCCTTAGGAGACTACACAAACGTTTGTGCTGGGAGGACATAGTGAGAACCAGGATTGGAGGTGGAGTAGGAATGGCTTCAGCTGGCAAAAGCATCATTGCTGCCAAAGCCTCAGTCCCAGGAAAGTGCTGTGAAAGCAAAGGCAAAGTTGATCAAGTGACCAGATATGGTGTTGGCAGTGGATCTACTTGGAGCAGGGTATTGGACGAGGTGAGCTCCAGAGGTCCTTTCCAACCTTAATTATTTTGTGGTTCTATGATTCAAACTTAAATCCTGTTTTAGGCATCCTTTTACTCTGTCAGGCAATTACACATATTTCATTCAGCACAAATACAAAGCCAAGATCAAAACTGTTCAACAGAGATAGAGGCCCTCTGAGTGTTTAGTATGCTCAACATAGTAAAAAACAGATCACATCCACACAATTTTTATTTATTAAGAAGAACACTATTGGAACTTTTCTTTATTATTTTCTGCCTTATCATAAGTAAGAATTGCAAACACAGCAGTATGTAGACTGTTGTATTTTGATTTGTTACAATTTGTAAGTTGCAAATGTTGTGAAAGCTGAAAGGGTGATGTCTAGGTACAAACAGCAGGTAGCTCTGTACCTGCACCACTGTCAGGTTTTCTGTGATACTCATGTCTGCTCTTACCATAGCCAGTGACAAAGCAGGCAGTGCCTTCTGTGGTATGGGACTACCCTTGAAAGTTCTGGTATCTCTCAGGGTCAGGGCCACAGTGTAGTGGCAGTAGGCTGTATAGTGATGTTGAACATATACCTATTTCCTTCTTCCTTGCTCTGAAGCTGTTGCTGAGAGCCCTTTTCCTTTCCATGTGTGTGGCCTCATGTGCAAAATGCAGAGGGAGCAAAAGAGAAGGCAGCCTCACTCTGCAGTAATGCAGATATCACAGAAAGTGCTGAAGTCCATGGTTCCCATCCATCTGGTGTGTCCCCCTGGTATTCCAACTCTGTTAGCCCCTACTAATTTCCAATGAGATGATATCCAAAAAGACCACAACATACTGCCCAAAGAGATCCAAAGCCAAAAAAGGAGCACTTTATCCAGGGCTGAAAGTGAGGTACCATGCTTTTCAGCAGCCTGCACAATATCAATTAAAAGAACCGCATAAAATTCTTTTTGGAATGCACGAAAGTAAAAACAGGACACATGATGCTAAAGTGTAAATATAACATGTTCTGTATTATTTTGCTGTGTGGTTTGCTGCCTCATGTGGCTCTGCTTCCAGATGTCCATGGTGGGAGAAGATCATATGTACTGACCAGCTCCTTTCTCCTCTAAGGAGGGTGAGCCAGGCTGTAGTCACAGCACCTCCACTTCTCAGTGATGTCACTGGTGAGACAAAGCAATCCTAGAGGAGAACTTGCTCTTTTAAAGGAAGGCAGGGAGCCATTGCACGTTATTTGTTGGCATGATATATACTGGTTATTCAAACTAGAGAGGGCAAAATGCCTTAGGCCTGTTGCCCAGGCTTTATGAGTTTATTTGGGTATTGCTGATAGCTTGCTGTCCCCAGCTCTGTGCCTCACCCAGGACGTGCAAGATGCCTCTGAGTCAGCTGCTCCATCACCTCAATTTACATCATGGTTGTGGTCTGGAGTATAACAGGGCTGATTCATGTTGATTCATCAGCAGCTCAAGTGTCTATACAGTCCATGCTAGACAGAAACCTGGGACATTATTTTTCTCCTTTCATCCCATCTGAGGTATTCCTTCACCACTCTTTTCCCTTAGCCAAGCTTGACTATAAGGAGATTCAGTGCTCTGCAGTAAATTGCTAGAAGTTCTTCCTTCTCCTGCCCCACCCTCACCTCCTCCTCATTTCAAGAGACTTTCTTCAGTCTTAGTTGCAGAAGCTCAGTATCAGATGGGTCCTCGCTGTGCTGCCGCCCTGCGCATGTCTGCAGTGGGCTGCCTCTTCAGTTCTTTATGGCCCATTGTGGAAAGTATTTTGGCAATTTTCTTTCCTTTGCCTTTCCTCCCCACCACCCCCCCCCCCTCACTCAACTGAGTCCTAATCTGTTCTTGTGCCTTTTAACTTCATGCAGAACTGAAGAACATTATGACACAACTACATTCAAAGTATTGCAAAATGCTCCTGTATTTTCTGCACAGCAGCTGTG